AAACAACACAAATCTCTTTTTCTTCAAGAAATTGTACAAACGTACGCCTTTTTTATTCTTATCTTTTATCTCCCACAAAAATCCATCAAGACCAACTTTCCCAGCAATTTCATCTTGAATCTTCTCTACATGTAACTCTTTAGACACCACGACCCATATCACAAAATCAAATCCACTACTTACGTCGCTGAACTTATTGTTGATCTGTGTGAGAAGTGTGGTCTTCCCTACTCCGCCCATACCATACAAACCCATCATTCCAACTCCATCTTCCATGAGATGTTTCCATGCCTTTTGAAGCATCGTTTCTTGACCAACAATTGTGGGTTGAAGAGGTCTTTCTTCCATCCGAGGTGTTTGAGCTTCCTCAACAATCACTTCAAATTCTCTACTATGGAGTGTCTCAACCTCCTTTAACGTCAAGAAAACTTTTTTCCCGTAACCATAACTCGATCTTAAACTCTTAGAGCAAAACCCACAAAGACACAGCTTTTGAAGCTCATCATCTCTAGCACTAAGAAGATCACTGACTCTTTTTTCAATACTTGCAACTCTATTAAGCCATACCTCGATTTCGGCAAGCCTTTGCTGACCTCTATCCTCCCCTCTTGTGACCCTTTTTGACAGATCATCACGCTTAGCCTTGAGCTCTTCCATGGATGTCACCAGAGCCGTGAGATTCTTCTCCAGGTTATGTATACAAGCTACTTTCTCGTCAAGCCAGTTAGAAATTTTATTGATACAAGGATCACAAGGTATGGAGAAAGAGATGCAGAAAGGAAGAGAGATCTTAGATTTGAGAATTTTACTGATCTGATCAAAACTAGAGAAGAAGCAGAGAATAATCGAAGAGAAGACTTTCTTTCTCGTCCACAATTCTTCGATCGAGTGAGTCCAAATCATTGAATTTTCTTGGAAATTGTACTTATTTGATTTCCATCACACACTTGGTTGTACACTTTGGTGGGACATACTAATCTCAATTCACAAAGTCTCTCCATGGCTAACCGCAGGAAAAGTACACTTGAGAATCTCGTTGATAATTAATTTCCAAAATAACGGTTGTTGACTTTGGTGGGACATCTGCAAAGATGGGCATCCCCTTGTTGTTGACTGAAGAAGAAAACTTGAGACTCACGTAAAACCCAAATCCCACCACGCTTCTAATATCACCCGCCGGAGCGTCGACGGGAACGTCACAGTCACTGGGTCGTCGTCTTCAAGAGCCTGTCCAGAAACAGAAACCTCAATCATGTCAACCCGGATCCGTTAAGCGTTGACCCGGCTCGCCGTCGAATACATCTGAGGAGGTTTCCGACTCAGGATAACTTCTTGGCCACGCAAGGATATGCATAGTTATAAATAGTCATAAGTAGTGTATAATTTTAGCTCCTACGTAGCACTTACCCTAATTAAAAATAAATAAATAAATGAATTCATGATCTCTTGATTACCTCTCTTTTTTTGTGATTGACAAGTAAAATATATTCAGGAAGAGATTGCAAATAACATTACAGTTAAAAGCATCATTCTCCTACGATTCAGAGAGATTTTGATTCTGCGATAGATCCTAAACAGCTAGCATCAACAAAGAATATACACATCTTAACAACCTTCTTGAGTAATGCATCAAAATTTTATTTTCCACTGACAATTTAGGTATTTGATCATATAAGATAACTCGAGAGACACGCCCACTTCTCTCTGGCTTTGATTATCAACAGTTAACAATAAATTTGCCACTAAGAGTATAACTAACCATATATAACCATATGAAAATGCCTTAGAGATCGAAGAACAACAGCATATATGCCACGTGCTACTCTTCTTCTTCATGATATTGATAAAGACAAATCTCTAAAATGAACTATTTTTACGTTTTTGTCCTAGAAATAGACTCAAAATTAATTTTTCTGGGAAAGAGATATTGGTTAAGCTTAACTATCCGATACACCAACAGATTAAAAACAAACGTGCTCTGTTCAAGTTTATACGGTTTAGTTCCGGTTTGGATAGAAACGTTAATAATCTTAGGTGGGCCACTTTGACGACAGAATCGCCATGGCTTGAGTGAGTGACCCAAGAATCATTCATAATCTCTTAAAAAATGGCACCATCAATCAAATCACGCCACGTGGCCGTAATCAGAGCTGGAGCCGCCGGACTAGTGGCAGCGAGAGAGCTTCGACGGGAAGGTCACTCTGTCGTCGTCTTCGAGAGGCAGAAAGGTGGGAGGAACTTGGATCTACACCGATAATGTCGAGTCGGATCCGTTAAGCGTCGATCCGACCTGAATCGTCGTTCACTCGAGCGTCTATGGCTCTCTCCGAACTAACCTTCATCGAGAATGTATGGGATTCAGAGACTTCCCATTCATGGTCCGATCCGGCGAATCCAGAGTTCCGAGGAGGTTCCCGAGTCACGGTGAAGTTCTAGCGTATCTGCAAGATTTCTTGATACCAATGGAAGTGTTACTGTAGATGATAACTGTGTTAGTCCATTGTACAAACACATCTTCCCTCCACTATTAGCGCCGTGGCTCTCCTTCGCCGGGATACCATGTAAGGTACAAAAGCTCTAAATCGGCATAGCTTTGGTTATCTGCTTGTTACGGTTCGGATTTTGAAGTCTATAAACAAGTTTGGATTTTTTTGCAGGTTATCTCCTCTACCGTTTCCTATGTTTGAGCTGCAAAGCAAGTGGATTGCGGGTGTTTTGTCTCGTCGGATCATGCTTCCTTCAAAGGAAGATATGTTAATGGAAATCGAAACCTTGTATGCAAGACTTGAAGGGGAAGGGGTTCCTAAGCGATATACTCACTCTTTGGGCATCAACCATGTAAGCAAGAGTCTCTTAACATGTTGAAAGCCAACACGGACACAGATTTATTTGTAATTTTTGGTGTGTGTTGTTCTTTTTGTCACAGTTTGAGTACAATGATTGGTTGGCTTCAGAATATGGGTGCTCAGGAACAGAGGAATATAGGAAAGAGATGTTCTTGATGAGTTTCATGAGGAAGATGGAGAATCCGGAGACGTATAGAGATGAATGGGAAGATCATCATCACTTGGTTGCTCAAGCTAACCATGATTTCTCTTTGTATATTGTAAAATAAAGATGAAAGCTTCTATTTCGTGTACAGCTCATCATCCTATGAGAGCTTGAGAACTGAACCAAACCTGAATCATATAACCTAATTCCTATGGTTAATATCTCTAATCTTGCCAAGACTTGTAACTCCTCCACCGTGTTGAGATCTAATGAAACACCAGAACCTCTGCAGTCTCAATACTTTCAAATCAAGTAGACTTGATACGCTAACCTCCCAATATAATCAAATCAATTTTCCAGCTTACTTGATAGACTCCCTCCCCCATCTGACTATTATATTAGATCATTATAGTAAACATAATTCATTGATCATCGTGTTGGCAAATATATAATATTATATGGGACAAGAATAAAAAGGTGCTTGCATATCCTGCATAAGACCAGCTAACTGGTTTGTGTACGCACTGAAACAATGTATATGGCATATGAAAACATTACAATCGACTTCAAACGTAACCATTGTATAAATGTTGATAAAAAATAAGACAGAAAAAAGCACACAGACAGCAACACACAATGAGTGGTAGAGATTTGAGAGAGTGAGAGACAGAGAAGAGAAGAGAAAGAAAAGCTTCTCTTTTGATTAAAGGCAAATGACATCTTCAACTTCCTCGTCGCTTGAATCCTCCTCCTCGCTATATTTCCAAGAAACACTCTGAACATGTACCATAAACAAAAAGACAGATGCATAAGAAAATGGAAGCGGTTCATATCCCGAAGAAAAAAAATCATATGAAAAGAAATAAGATAATACGAGAAATTATACCAATTTTCATGAAGATAAGAAGCGAGTTTTTGTAGCTTCGTCCTCCCATTCAACACCTTCAATCCAACTTTCCTCTCTGTATCCTAAGACGAGTCTATTTTCACCATGTATGCCACTTTGAGAATCCAATGGAAGCTTTTTCAGATTTGGACATTCGATTACATTGAATATCTTTAGACATGGAAAGCGTAGAGGATTCCAATAGATATTCTTTAGCTTGGGTAGACTCCGCAAATAAAGAGAAACCAGCTTTGCAAAAGGAACAATCCCTGATTCTTCAACTTCACAAGCTTTCTCTTTGTTTATTATATCTTCTAGTTGATCTGAATACCTAACTTCAAGTTCTTTAAGATTTGAAGCAAACATCAGCAACGTCAGCTCCCTCAGGCCTCGGCATTTATTTATATACACTTTGGAGAGGCTCAAGAAGCATGGCTCGCTCGGATTGTGTATAGGAGAAACCATATTGCTTTTGTTGCATATACTTCCCATCTTTATCTCAGGGATAGTGCAGTTCGTAATGATGAAATAACGAAGCTTGTTCATGGTCACTGGAATTGCTATTCCAGTTGATTCCAATTTCAAGATCTCCAGAAATCGTGTACAACTCGTCAACCTGAGAGAACTAAAAAATAGCTCCAGATGTGGTGGACAATGGATTTCTAGGGTTAAAATTTCTAAATGCTCCAAGGTTTCTAATTCCTCCACTATGCCGCGATCCCATGAAAAGCCACTTCCAGCTAATTTCAGGATCATCAAATTATGCAGATTTGATATCCCAGCAATACTCGAAAGCTGAAGTGTATGCTCGAGATTCAAGTGAATGAGTTTTTTCAACTCTTGTAGACCCTTAGGGAGATGACGGATACCTGTATCTGACAAGTTGAGATACTTCAAAGAAACTAAATCAGATACTCCATCCGGCACTTTGGTGAGATGTTCATTAAATGATAGATCCAACACCTGTAGCTTCGGCATGGACTTAAAGAATTTACTCGAGATATTTACCAATTCTCCCCGTTGCATGAGAAAAGCTGTGAGTTCGAGACATTCAGGACTGCCAGCTAGATTGCGAATCTTGTTCTTCATCAGTGACATTCTTCTCACACTGTTCCAATTCTTAACCTTTGGAATTTTATTTAACCCTACACCTGCATGCACAATGAAAGCCTCCTTTTCTCTTCCCAATTCAGATGCAATCCACAATGCCATTTCACGAACAACATCATGCATACGCACACATTCTGTTCCATATTGTTCAGCATCTTCCATCAACAAAGATGCACGAACAAGATCACCAATAATCTCATACCCCTTGTATCTGGCCCTCTCTATACCTTCACTTCCATCTATAATACTTCGCCTATCAAGTAGTCTATCAAATACTTTTTAGAAATCAGATCATCTTCTGGAAATAAAGCGCAATACAGCAAACATGATTTGACATCCTCGCCCTTAAGATTATCGTAGCTATACTTCAAAAGTGGAAGGATCTTATCTTCCATGCCAGAAAACTCTGTAGCGTACGAAGTCAAAACATTTATAGCGTGACGCCATTCTTCCACCGTCTTCTTGCATGACATGGTCTCCCCTATGACATTGAGCGCCAGTGGAAGGCCACCACATTTTCTAGCAACGTCTTTTGCAAGCTTGGGGATCTCTGGATCGCTGTCTAGTGTTTTTTGTCCAACCTTCTTTTGGAACAAATCAAATGCTTCAATTTCCGCCAAACATTGGACTTCCAATTGTTCTTCAGCCATCATCTCCGAACATACACCTTGTTTACGAGTGGTGAAGACTACTTTGCATCGGTTTTCTGGTCCTGGAAATGGGACTCCAATCTCTGTTAAATCCACCTTCTCCCATATGTCATCTAAAAACAACACAAATCTCTTTTTCTTCAAGAAATTGTATAAATCAATGGTCTTTTGGCTCTTCTTTTTTTTCTCCCACTTCTCTCCATCAAGACCAACTTTCTGAGCGATTTCATCTTGAATCTTCTCTACATGTAACTCTTTAGACACCACAACCCAAATCACAAAATCAAATCCACACCTTTCTTCACTGAACTTATTGTTGATTTGCATGAGAAGCGTTGTTTTCCCAACTCCGCCCATACCATACATTCCCATAATACCAACTCCATCTTTCATGAGATGTTTCCATGCCTTATCGAGCATTGCTTCTTGACCAACAATTATCCGTGGAACTTGTATTTCCTCTATCACAGCTGTGTCAGCTTTATTAACTACTTGATCAGTAACATTTTGGAAAACTCTATTTTCGAGTTGCACAACATCTATCAACGACAAGAAAACCTTTTTCCCGTAACGGTAACTGGATCTTAAACTCTTAGAGCAAAACCCACAAAGACACAACCTTTGAAGTTGAACATCTCTAGCATCAAGAAGAGCATCAACTTTTTGATCCAAAGACTCAACTTTCTTAAGCCATACCTGGAATTCTTCCAGCCTTTGTCCACCTTTATCCTCCTCTCTTGTGGCCTTTCGTAATAAATCATTCCGCTTAGCCTTGAGCTTAACCATGCTGTTCTCCAGAGTGGCGAGATTCTTCTCAAGATCGTGAATATAACCAACTTTCTTGTCTAGCCATTGAGAGATTTTATCCATCCACTCATCACAGGATATCGAGCAAGTGATTAAATTCCCCATTTTACAGAAAGGGAGAAATCTGAAATCTGAAATTTGCTGATATGAGCAAACCAGAGACAATGCAGAGAATAATTGAAGATAAGACTTTCTTTCACGTCCACAATTCTCGACCAAGTGAGTCCAAATCACTGATTTTTCTTGGAAATGTTTGCTTATTTGATATCCATAATTCTCACGTTCACACATTTTGGTTGTTGACTTTGGTGGGACATACTAATCACAAAGTCGCTCTCCATGGCAAACCAAAGACGAAGAAGACTTAATATTTAATCCTTAATCCTTGTTACAATAAGCTTTTAATGATAAGCGTGATTATTCAGTCCCCAATCGAATATTTGATCAAAACCATTTACAGTATGCCACATTTGAAGCCTTATAGGAATTCATAAGCGATTTACACACTGTTTGGGGATTGACCAAGTGAGAATCTCTGTAAATTATGTTTCTCCATGTGAGACCAAATTCAAACGAAAACACGTTCATGTATGGGAAGATCATCACTTGGTTGATGAAGCTAACCAAGACTTGCCTTTGTATATATCAACCAAAAGATGATATAATATCTAAGACTATACGGTAAGTTAATTCTCTATAAAGGTGGTGTACCTCTGAATCAACAATGAATAAGCACTAGGTATTATCAGTTAAAAATCTGGCGCTAAGAGTAAAACAAACCATATTTAACAATATGAAAATGCCTTAGAGAAGAACAAGATCCCATTACGCCACACGCTACTCTGCTTCTGCTTCATAGTCATATTCTTCATCATAATAAGGATCTTCAAGTCTTTCTTTTTTGTACTTGGCTTCTTCTTCTTCTTCTTCAAGTCTTCTGGCCTCTCTAAAACCTTGTAGCCTTACTAGAATGGCAGCAGCATCCTCCTTGCGAGCACGAGATTCATTGCCAGCCTCAACTCCTCCAGGGTAATAATCCAACTCCTGCTTGACAAGCAAAAGAGAAAATTAACAAGTGAGAATGGGAAAGAATCAAATATGTAGTTAGACAATGACAAGGTTTCTTTTGGGGATAGATGCTTACTTCAAGTGCATGTTCTTTACTGAGGATATGCTTGGTGAAACTTTCAAAGCCTAAGAGACCAAGACAGCATCCTGAGCAATAAAATGTAGTTTTACCCGTTGTTCCACTGCACTCCTTCTTGGCCTCTGTTGGAGAAAAAAAACAAAACAAAAAAGAGCTTAATTTGGTGTGTGTTTGAGAGAGAGCGAGAGAGAGAGAGAGAGGAACACACCTGCACGTAAGCTCGCGAGTAAGCTTTCCCAGAGGAAGCACCCTGCACGCCTAGCGAAGACGGTGGGCTCTAGTTGACGATCATATGGAACTTTTGAGCCAAGAACATAGTATTTCTCCGATAGATCGGCAATAAACTGACCGAAGATCCTCTGAAGGGATATGAGCATGACATTAGCCGGAGGCGAATTATCCGACTTCCACATGTACACACTAGTCATAATAGATTTGTTATCTGTTCCAGAAAAAACAATACTTAAGACTCTGTAAAAACACACCAAAAGCAAGGAAAAAAGGTAAAGAGAGTTGAATCTAAAACACTTACACATGGTGGGGTCGTGGGGACGTGATGAAGGTTGATCCCAGTGGAAGAGAGGGCTCGAAGGACGTCAATAGGGACTTGTGATAGTATGCCAATGGCGGTGATGGTGAGATTACCGTTGTAACCTAAACTCTTCAATGCCCGTCTTATAAACGGACCCACACGACGAGCATCAACGTCGGAGGGAACAGGACACCTGCTTAGGTCCCACAAGACCCATGTTGCAAATTTGCAATATCAGCTTGCCTCTTCGTCGCCGCCTTAAGGTCCATCATCGTTCACCCTAATGAACGTAAACTAACGTAGGGTTTTATCAGAAGTAAAACATGTTACACATGTACGTAGAATAATATAACAACTCATTCGCATGATGAAGAAATATAAGGAACTAAACCGATTGGCACAAGGCTGAAAGCTGAAAGCTGAAAGGTGTTATTTGGGTTATTTGGTGTTAGGAAAGAGATCCTTATCATTAAAGCTTAAATATCTGATACACCAACAAATTAAAAAAAAATTTGCTCTGTTCTAATTTATACATTAGGAAAGTGTCTAATTGCTCCATTACACTGATATTATCTTATTTGTCCATACATTAAACCCGGTTTAGTTCTGGTTTTGATAAAAAATTTGATCCGTCGGTCGAAGCAACTTTGGTGGGCCATTTTAATTACCGAATCTCGTAAAAACCCATATGGCATCTTCGTCATCAATCAAATCACGCCACGTGGCTGTAATCGGAGCTGGAGCCGCCGGACTAGTGGCGGCGAGAGAGCTTCGACGAGAAGGTCACTCCGTCGTCGTTTTCGAGAGGCAGAAACAGGTCGGAGGAACCTGGATCTACACCGATCACGTCGAGTCCGATCAGTTAAGCGTCGACCCGACCCGAATCGTCGTTCACTCGAGCGTGTATGGCTCTCTCCGAACTAACCTTCCTCGAGAATGTATGGGATTCAGAGACTTCCCATTCGCGATCCGATCCGAATCAATTGATCCGAGAAGGTTTCCGAGTCACCCTGAAGTTCTAGCGTATCTGCAGGATTTCGCTAAGGAGTTTGGCATCGAGAAGCTGATCCGGTTCGAGACGACGGTCGTGCGCGTTTCTCCGGCGGCGGAAAGCGACGGCGGAGAAGGAATCGGAAAATGGAGAATCGAATCTACAGAGAAGGAGAAGAAAATTCATCGCGATGAGATTTACGATGCAGTTGTTGTTTGTAATGGACATTACATTGAACCTCGTCTCGCTGAAATTCCTGGTAAATTCTCAACATCTCGATTCTCCATAGTAAAGCTTGCTCCATCGAAAAACTTAGGATCGGATTTGAAAAATAGAAACTTCATAAAAACATTGAATCATTTTAGGGATAAGTTGTTGGCCAGGGAAGGAGATGCATAGCCATAACTATCGTCTTCCTTCACCATTCAAAGATCAGGTACTCAATTTTATTTTCAAAATTTCAGATATAATGATTCATTTTCATGGTGGAGAAGAGAATTGTGATACATTTTGAATCATAGGTTGTTGTGGTTATTGGAAGCTCTGCGAGTGCTGTTGACATAAGCAGAGACATTTCCGGGTTTGCCAAAGAGGTTCATGTGGCTTCTTGGTCAAATCCAGCTGATACTTTTATCAAGCAGAACGGTTACACTAACATATGGATGCATTCAATGGTGAGTTTCGCTACTACTTACCGTTGGTTCGATCGAGAGATGAACAACAGTTCTTGAAACGTTTTCTTGAATCTTTATGCAGATTGAGCGTGTCCATGAGGATGGTTCTGCGGTTTTTCAGAACGGGAAAACGGTTTTGGGTGATGTTATAATGCATTGCACTGGTTATAAGTATCATTTTCCGTTTCTTGAAACCAATGGAGAAGTTACTGTTGATGATAACTGTGTTGGACCATTGTACAAACATGTCTTTCCTCCAGCATTAGCACCGTCGCTCTCCTTCGTCGGGATACCATATAGGGTACAAAAGCTCTATATCATTCCTCTCAAGTTTTTTTTTCTTATCAAATTTGGATCTTTCAGGTTTTACCATTTCCTATGTTTGAGCTGCAAAGCAAGTGGATCTCGGGTATTTTGTCGGGTCGGGAAACCAAAACCATGAAGGCCACATTTGAAGGCTTGGGGATTCCTAAGCGATTTACGCACTGTTTGGGGATTGACCAAGTAAGAAGAGTCTCTGTAACTTATGTTTCTCCTTGTGCGACCAAATCCAAACGAAAACATGTTAAATGTTGTTTACTTTTGTGTTGTTTGTTTGACAGTTTGAGTACTATGATTGGTTGGGTTCACAAATTGGGTGCTCAGGAACAGAGGAGTGGAGGAAAGAGATGAGTTTGCCTATTTTCTTGAGGAAGATGAAACATCCGGAGAGTTATAGAGACGAATGGGAAGATCATCACTTGGTTGATCAAGCTTACCAAGATTTCTCTTTGTACATATCAACCAAAAGATGAGATTTTGTAAAATCAAATTATATCTTTGCTTTGTATCAGAATGCCTCTATTGATCAATGTACAAACTATATTCATAAGATTGCAAATGTTCAAATGCTTTGGAATTGAACACAGCTTCCATTAGACCATATGATAAACTAACCCTTTACTGATGAATGTAAGAAGAGTGAGTTTTCTTCAAACAGAGAAAAGGTAATGGACTCCAGTAGATGTTCTTCAGCTCCGGTACACCAGATAAGCCTAAAAACTTTACTTATACAAGCTTTCTCTTTGCTTATTATGTCTTCTAGTTGTGAAACTTGGATTAAACATCAGAGCACAATGATCACATGATATCGATAAAGAGATACAACTTCCCATATTTTAGATAAACAAGTGACATCCAGAGAGCAATCTGGTTTGATTAAAACCGAAGATATTATACAACTGATCAAATATTACACAGGGGAAAGTATTCCAATCAACTTCAAACGTACCCATTGTATAAATATTGCTGCAAATAAGAAAAGAAAAAAAAAAAACATAGAGAGAGAACCAAGTGGTGGTAGTCTAGTGATTCCCACTTGAGGCTGAGTTGCGAGTCTAGGCCAAACATAAAAGCAATTCTCATTTGACCACACGGATATGTGTCATTGCTTTTGGCCCATTTGAATTCCATAGAGAGAGTTCAATTTCCAACGAGCTGCATCAGAATATACCCGTTATACCTTGTGGCTGCCTTCCATACTCCCACTGTAAACATAAAAAAAAATAAAAAATTCATAAACCCGAAGAGAAAATCATATGAAAACAAAAAAAGAGAATACGAGATAATATACCAGTTTGCATGAAGATAAGAAGCGAGTTTTGGTAGCTTCGTCCTCCCATTCTACACCTTCAATCCAACTTTTCTCATTGCATTTTAAGATGAGTCCGTTTTCACCATGCATGCCACTTTGAGAATGGAGTGGAAGTTTTTTCAGATTTG